CTGAAAATTTAGCTTAATACGAATTAGAAGAAAAATTTTTTGGACTATTAAAATAATTGCGAATATCAAGTATGATGAGTAATACTTGAAAAAATTTTGACATTCTTACAACCTTCTTGTGTGGATATCTTACATAATTATTTTGATGGTTTAATGAAATTATTTTTAAATCTGTATGAAGCTAAATTTTTAGATATTTTTCAGTAAAACCATTATTTCCGCGCGTCATTTTATTTTATACGTTTTTTTTATGCATAAGAAAAATTCGCTCGAATTCGTTTAAAATAATCTCTCTCTCTCTCTCTCTTTCTTTCTCTTAAAAAATAATTTATAATCTAATTGTAGGAATACATATAAATATGTCATACTAGTAATATATTGAAAATTTTTTAACGTACCTGATAAGATGTTCATGTCTTATAACAATTGCGGCTAAACCTTTCTTAAATTTTTTTCTTTTTGAGAAAAATGTAGAGTCGTTAGCCAATTCGTTTACCAGATTGTTCAGTGTTGTCCGCAGATTTGTGAGCTGCGAACATACATGCAGCACAAGTATCGGAACAAAACTATCGACCATGTAGTTAGCGAGAATTGAACATATGGCGGCAGTCATTTGAATTAAATAAGTGATTTCATAGTTCGGACTCTTTTGAATGTTTTCTAATGGATATATAAGGGTCCGTCGAGGCTGGTGTATAGTTTTGAAAAACCTCAACAGACGAAGAGAAACTGAAAATATAATTAAGCCCATTGCGGACATACAACATCTAAATGATATGTTTCTGCCACGTCTCGCGTATTTTAACATAGTATTTCGTTCCCACTTAGTCGTCGAAGTCATCCAATCAGTCATAATTGATACTATCAGCGGCTGAAATGCTTTAAAAAGAAATATCATTATGTATATAAATCATTAAAACAAGTGAGTTTCTATAAGACAACACTATGTTCAAAATCGAAATATGAGACAGTAAACACACAGTTTAATACGGGCATAATAGTATTATAAATTCATATGTCTGAATCTGGACGTGTATGCTGTCTCTCTGAGTTTCTATATAGAACATTGCCTGGACCTTTTATGTACTTATTATTGATATTGATAATATCAATGAATAAGTATTTAAATGAGGAGGATTTAGCTTTGACATTTTGTATCAAGAACTGTAAAATATAAATCTTTCCAGCAATTCATATTGTCGCGTAAAGTGAACTTACTTTTGCCATGATACCAAGTAACGAGCAATTTGCACACTGCTATCAAACTGAAATTTGCTGAGACAAAACTGTCCACCATTCGAGTTAAATTACCCCAAGCACGTATCACATTCATGATTTGCGGCACAAATATGTATAAACTTAGGATGCATATGACGATAATGAGTCTTATACTTGGCCACCGAAAGTCACTTAAAGTCATATGTGGATCAGGCCATATACCAAATATTCGTAGACATTTGTGAGTCAAGGTAAACATATAATTTAAATCTATAAAATAAAATATTTGGAGAAATATTATTGCTTAATTTACTAAAATATACTTCAATTTGTTACTTTCTGTTTTTATTTTCAATTGTATTGTAGCACTTATGAAGGAATTAACTTAATTTATATTATTTTTTATATAATTCGTCTTTATAGAATACACTGAACAAAATTTTATTATATAAATTTTATTTGATCCCGAGATTGGAGACCATTTTAATGCTCTGGAATCCAGTCCGCGCTATGTCAAAATTGTTTTATCATGTAACAATATTTTTATTGACGGAACATAATTGAATTTTACAATATTTATATAGCTATTTATTGTTTGATGTTTAATATGCGAAGTAAGGTAAAAGACAGAAGTGATGCTTAAATATTAGAGAATGAGACTTTTACGATTCTGTTTAGTATTGACCCATAATTATAATGTATAAGCTTATAAAATTGATATGCAAGCCGATGGATTGAAAATATTGAATAATAGATCTATTTTGACAATTAAAGTTGTAAATAATGAATTGATTAATGTATATGATTTTACTTAAACAAAGCTAAAAATATTTTTTGTTATGATGCTTTTCTTTAATATCGTACTATTTTTATATTATTAGAGAGATATAAAATTTATACAACATATAACATTTATGTTTTCTATATTTAACATCTCTCTTCACGATGTGCTTTTACAAAATTTTATTCTTGTTCAACGTTGTTGCCGTACTTATGTTTCAATTTTGATGTTGTTAAAGAGTTTCGAAGAATTTCTTTTTAGAATAAACTCTTTCACTGGAAGTAGAAAACGATTTGTGCACAACTGACGTGTGTTTCACATAACGTGATTTTATCCAACTTTACAACATAAAAACACTGTATATCTCCACGAAAACTTCTTATCGAAAGCGAAATGTTTTTTGCTAGTATGCTAATATTTATTTCCATTCTCACAAACTTTTGTGAAAACCACCGAAGTTTTGTAACTTTCTATAAGAGATCTATAGACTCCACTCAAAAAACTGTGATACTTTTTGCTATTTTTCGTAACAAAGCGATCTCTTCTTCTAATTTAACGATCTTTAATTTAAAAAAGTAGTTACATATTTATGTAATTATATTTTTAATAGAACATTGCGGTGCACACATCTTTATTATTTTATTTCGAGATATGTTCTACCTTTGTTGGCAGTCATTGATGTTCACAGCGCAAAAATTATCGTTTGACTGAATCGCTCTCTGCGATTATACCAAACGTCGTGATTTTGCGCTTGCTCAGTATACAAAGGATCCGCGACTGGCTGCGTGAATACTTTTATAATCTCTTTTTAGAACGATCAATAGTAACTTAAGTAACACATGTAATGATTATACTTTTTATTAAAAAATCGATTACAAACATTGTTTTTTTAATATAGCATTATTTAAAAGAATCCACTGAAATTTAATAAATAAATGATATATTTTTTATTGTTTAAAAACATATGTTTTAGATAACAAAAAATAAATTATTATATATTATGTTGTATACACTTGAATTTAAAAATTACAATATTTAATATGTATAGATACATATTTCTAGGGAAGTCCTACACCATTTTGAAAATTTTTTCAGTTACGCAGAGGTAGGCAAAATAGTTAAAATCGACGCATAAAGCAACTTTAAGATATATTTATGATTTCTTTAAGAAACATTTTCAAGATATTTTATAAAAAATTTTGAAAGATATTTTAAAAGTGTCTGCGGCATAAGACCCGTTTAGTCGGCAATCTTTAAAAATTAATATCTTTTTCATTTTTGCCAAAGTTACAAAATACAAGACTATTCAACTTATAATCAGTTCAGTTTAGCCAACAACCAGAAAAAGTGTAGGACATCCTGCAAATGTATTCAATTTTTCTTTTACGGAAAACGAAATAAATAATTCCATTTACCTTGTAAATTTGAAAACTTTTAAAACAACTATAAAAAGCAGCTAATATCACTGCGTTACACAAATAACACTCAGCTGTAGCAGCCGCCGACCGTTTTTATATTTTTTGAAAAATTAATGCATTTTGTGTTCATATATCTTATACATATTTATTATTATAATTTTAATATTTTAATCTCTAGAATGGACATACCTGACATTGTATAGTAGACAAATATATTAAATTAAAGACGATTGTACATAGAAATTTCCTGTGAATTTTATGTAAGATCGTCTTTAATTAAATATATTTGTTAACTACTCGCATTAATAATCGCGTATTATTAGCTCTCAATTGCCCACTAATTTTTTTCCCATTTATTACTATTGTTTTTAAATCTCGAGAGCTCAATTTATTTTATATTATTGATTGATAACATGTGATTTTCCTTCTCTAACCGTTTTCGAAAAAAATATGGTGAAAATGTTTATCAAACTTTCCCCATGTATACGTATATACATGATGTATATAAATTCAATTTTCTAAAATATATTTTGCAAAAAAAAAAAAAATATCATCTCACCTGTAAACTTGAAAACTTTGAGCTCTAATCTTGAAAAACATAATTAAAAAGCACCTAATATAATATGAACAGGTAAGGGAGGATCCCGATTGCCTGCAAAATAGTTGCTTACAGTTTTGTTTGCACACAGCGTATTGCACATAAGACATTATTGTACACTGCACATTACACAGACGACATTATATTGCACAAAAAGATAAATCACATAACCCATCTAGACGGTGTACAGAAGAGAGAATATATTAGTCGGGCGGGCGTAACCGAAATTAAAATAACATATCCTACTTGATTGTGACCTAACCGCTTAGAAGTTGCAGCCTAGACAGTGTGTGCGTGTACAATAATGTTGTGTGTGCAATATTGCTGTGTACAAACGAAGATGTAGGCAATCGTTTTATGGCCAAACGGTGTCCTTCCTATTATTTATTTATTATAATTTTAATGTTTAAATCTTAAAATGTGGTTACTATAGAATTTTTGAAGTAAATTGATATATCTGATGTTTTTATTGTTTACGTTTATTAACGATTTCGGTACGCACTACTATATACTATGGTGCACATTAAAAAAAAAGTCGTTGTACTCTAATTTAATTCTTACAATTAGTGCAAAAATGGAGTGATAATATTTTGAATTGTAAAATATATACATTGTTTGTTTAAATTAGTAATATAAGTTTTAATTATTATAAACTGTGTTTGATAAGCAAGAATTATATAATAAAGTTCCATGTTATTGCAGTACAATATAAAATCTTAATTAATCGATAATTGTCTTCATAATATTTTATTTTAGAATGTTTCCTTAAATTCTTGTGATTAAGTTGTTGAATGATGGCATGTGTACATAATTGAAGTAATAGTTGAATAATAAAGTTAAACTTACTGCGCCAAAGAGTGCATTTTTCTAATTCAAAAATTACGAACATTTGTAAATCTGATTATTCTATTACTTAAAATCTGATGTCACAGTCAGTTATGTGAAATCCATTTGTTATGATCTTTTCAGTATCATTTTATGATATCTAACCTCTCAATGTTATCAGTGCAGATAAGTATGCCATTGCCGTTTTAAGAGCCTAAATAGAATACAAAATATAAATACAAGTTTACATATTTTTTAAAATACAGTTTTAAATATAATTATAATGAATGCCATTGAAAATAAAATGTATATGTAATTAAAATATATTTATATATGTATATGTATAGAAAGTATGTACATAAATATAACTTTTGTACATAATATACTGGGTGTCTCAGATGAGCCCTCCACCCTTTTTTTATATACATATACAGACTCACATCATAATTACATATAAAAAGAAAATAATATATCTTTTTTTATACTTTATACATCTTACTATTCCAAACGTCTCTAATGAAAATATCCCGAATTTTCCGGCTGTCAGTTTCAAAGGAATCGTGGATCGATGTACAATCAACATTAAATCTTTTGCGTTTTTCGATGGTAGACCATACCATTTACATTCATATACTCCGTACACCATATTAGTGCTCTGAAAATTATGATTCTGTTGCATAGGTTGCTTTAACGTACATAATTGTTTTACCTCGTCCATAAGTTTTTCAGCTGAGTAGCAATATACATATAAGTGCGTCAACATAAAGGTGATATAAAAGAAGAGAAAAAACATTCGGACAATAGGTATTTTCAAATTATCTGTTATCATCTGAAAATAATACATTTTAATAGTTGCACGTGAAAGTATGCGGATCAAATATATCACAATACGTCATGCTATTATTTAATAAAATCATTATTTTTAATATTTATTTAATTTAACCGCTTTATGAAAAATATACGGAAAAAGACACACATTTTCACACAATAATCTCACCGTAAAAAACTGAAAAGCTATAAAACACATTTGAAGAGTAGTGAGTAATAGGTTCATAAATAATAATGAACTGTAGCAGTCGTCGATCGTCTTTGCGTTCCTTGAAAATTTGTAGATTACTTGTTATACGTGTTATCATCTAATTATTTAAAATTTAAATCTTTATGTATAAATTTTGAAATACTTTGAATTTTTATCTATCTGAATTTATGTATATTATTAAATTATACCAATCAGCATATAATATTAAAAAATATTTTTTATTGATTATTTAATATTTTTACATTAAAGAAATATTTAAAAAATGTTTATTAAATATTGTATGATGATTGAGATATTATTTAATATATCATAAAATTATATATTTTATCACATTTGTGGTTAAATCTTATGAGTCTTTAATTTTATTCCACCCACCGCTTAAAAACATGATATTTTAAAAGAAATAAGAATAGGTATATATATAGACAAAAATTGAAATTGAATTGCAAACAGCTCAAATAAATTAACAAATTAAAATTAACAATAAACCTCCCAGGTCAAGAATAATTTGAGCAATAATGGTTGTTAAATATATCTATAAATTTATTATAATGATAATATTAATATACGGTATATTAATATTATCCGTATATTAATATTATCATTATAATAAATTTATAGATATATTTAACCATTATTGCTCAAATTATTCTTAACCTGGGAGGTTTATTGTTAATTTTAATTATATATAGACAAATATTTTTATATACAGAAAGAACGGTTCAGTTGATATTTCATTTGTTCTAAAAATTTAGCTTGATACAAATTTGGAAAAATTTTTTGTAGCATCAAAATAATTACCAATATCATGTATGATGAGTAATACTGGAAAAAAATTTAACATTTTTGCAACCAGTGTGAATGTCTTATATAATTATTTTGTTTTATAAAATTATTTTTAAATCTCTATCTAGCTAAATTGTTAGAGTAAATGTTAAATTGTTTCAGTAAAATAGGAATACGTATAAATATGTCATACTAATAATATATTGAAAATTTTTTAACGTACCTGATAAGATGTTTATGTCGTTTAACAATTGCAGCTAAACCTTTTCTAAATCTTTCTTTTTTTGTGGAAAATGTAGAGTTGTCAGTTAATTCGTTCACCAGATTGTTCAATGTTGTCCGCAAATTTGTGAGCTGCGAACATACATGCAGCACAAGTATCGAGACAAAACTATCGATCATGTAGTTAGTGAGAATTATACATATGGCGCCAGTAATTTGAATTAAATAAGTGATTTCATAGTTCGGACTCTTTTGAATATTTAATTGATATATAAGGGTCCGTCCTGGCTGGTGTATAGTTTTGAAAAATTTCAACAGACGAAGAGAAACTGTAAATATAATTAAGCCCACTGCGGACATACAACATCTAAATGATATGTTTCTGCCATGTCTAGCGTATTTTAACATAGTGTTTCGTTCCCAGTTAGTCGAAGTCATCCAATCAGTCATAATCGATACTATCAGCGGTTGTAATGCTTAGGAAAGAAATATCAATATAAATATAAATTATTAAAACAAGTTAATTTATTGACAGCGCCATGTCCAAAATCGAAGTATGAGACAGTAAACACACAGTTAAGTAGTCATTTATAGCGATTTTGACTAAACTTTAATTGAGTTAATAGCTGCTTGTTTCACAGGTTCGGAAGACAAAATCTTTAATATATAGTTTGTCATCTTAATCTTTTATTGATATGTTAAGCATAGTTTTATCAGTTAACTTAATAATTTTATTCATATCTAATAGTGATTAATTCCTGTGGGAGTAACTGTTTTGAAAATTAAAAAATATAATGTTTAGTTAGTTTTAAAAGTTTTGGGTATATGTAGATATAAAAATGAGCTTTAAAATGTTTTGAATGCCAAAATATCATATCCTATAAATTAATTATTTATTAAAAAAATATTAAAATATATTAAATTGTAATAAAATTATTTGTTGTTTTTTAAAGGAATCTGTTTAGAAAACAAATATGGTCAGAAATTAAATACTAAAAATTTAAGAGTGATAGTTTTTTGTAAATATGTTATTAAATAATTTGTTATAATTTATTATATTATAATTACATTTTTAAAAATAAAATTGAGTATTCATTTGCATCCAAGTATAATTCTATTGCGATAGAAGTTAGACAAAAATATTCGAACCTTTTCGCATCTATAAATGCTCATTTATATTTATCTCAATGATGTATAATTAAGAATTTCTTTCAAAGAAAGTCATACTTAAACTGAATAATAGCTTGAATATTCATTAAATATATATAATCTTTATAGACATATTATTAACCTGAAAGCATTAAGTTTATTCATGTTCAATCAAAATCGCTCTCTTACATATTGAATATAGGAAATAGGATTGTCTTGTACGCATCGTATTGTTACGCCCGCGCGACCGAATTGTGAGCCCGAACAAGCGCAACATGGAAATCAAGACGCAGAATTAGGCACCAACACATCACTTTCTTTACTAATAATGATAAAGAGCGATCAAGGAACAGAAAAACAGGAGCTGACAAGACACGTCCGAACGAAGCGACGGTCAGTTCCAGACTTGCTTACTAGACACATGACGACTCGTCTTGACAATGCGTTTTTCGTATGGTCTTTTCGAAAACAATACCAACGGGTGTCGGCGCAGAGCGGGCATAACAGTATTGTAAGTTCATGTCTTGTGACCTGATTTTGGACGTGTATGTTGTCTGAGTTTCTATATAGAACATTGCTTGGATCTTTTGTACTTATTGTTATTAATAAATAAAGTATTTATGTGAAGAGTATTTAGCTTTGCCATTTTGTATTAAGAACTGTAAAATATAAATCTAGCAATTTACATTGTCGCGTAAAATGAACTTACTTCTGCCATGATACCAAGTAACGAGCAGTTTGCACACTGCCATGAAACTGAAATTTGCTGCGACAAAACCGTCCACCATTTGAGCCAAATTACCCCAAACACGAATCACATTCATCATTGTCGGCACAACAACGTACAAACTTATGTTACATATGATGATAATAAGTCTTATGCTTGGCCAACGAAAATCATTTAAAGTCATATGCGGATCAGGCCATATGCCAAATATTCGTAGACATTTGTGAGTCAAGGTAAACATATAATTTAAATCTATAAAATAAAATATTTGGAGAAATATTATTGCTTAATTTAAAATATACTTTAATTTGTTACTTTTTAAACAACTAATATAAAGAGATAAGGGCAATGAGCCAATAATTTTCTTTAAAATCTTTTAAATTAATCTAATATATTGTTACTTTTGTTTTTATTTTCAATTGTATTATACCACTATAGATTAAAGCCAATAGATTAGAAATCTTTAAAAATCTAGCTATTTTGAGAATTAAAATGATAAATAATGAATGAATTGTGTAATGTATATGATTTTACTAAAACAAATCTAAAAAATATTTTTTATTATGGTGCCGCTCTTTATATCGTACTATTTTTATGTATAGTTACAGAGATGTAAAACTTATACAACATAACTTATACAACAAAACTTATACAACAGTTATGTTGTCTAAATTTTACATCTCTCTTCACGATCTGTTTTTACAAAATTTTATTGTTATTCAACGTTGCTGCTGTACTTATGTTTCGATTTTGAAGTTGTCAGAGTTTCGAAGAATTTGTTTTCAGAATAAACTCTTTCACTGGAAGTAGAAAACGATTTGTGCACAACTGACGTGTGTTTCACATAACGTGATTTTATCCAACTCTATAACATAAAAACTCTATATCTCCACGAAAACTTCTTATCGAGAAAGCGAAACGTTTTTTGCTAGTATGCTAAGATTTATTTCCATTCTCACAAACTTTTGTGAAAACCACCAAAGTTTTGTAACTTTCTATAAGAGATCTATAGACTCCACGCAAAAAACTGTGATGCTTTTTGCTGTTTTTCGTAACAAAGCGATCTCTTCCTTTGATTTAATTAACAATCTTTAATTTAAAAGAGCAGTTATATATTTATGTAATGATATTTTTAATATATCATTGCGTTGCACACATTTTTACTGTTTTGTTTCGAGATATGTTGTACCTTTGTTGGCGTTCATTGATGTTCACAGCGCAAAAATTATCGTTTGACTGAAACGCTCTCTGCGATTATACCAAACCGTCTTGATTTTGCGCTTGCTCAGTTTACAAAGGATTCATCCGCTACTGTCTGCGTGAATACTTGTATAATCTCTTTTCAGAACGATCAATAGTAACTTAAGTAACATGTAATGATTATATATTACTTTTTATTAAAAGATCGATTACAAACATTGTTTTTCTTAATACAGCATTATTTAAAAGATTCCACTGGACGGTAATAAATAATTAATGTATTTTTTGTTATCTAAAAACATATATATTGTAGAGACAACAAAAAATAAATTATTATATATATTATGTTGTTTACACTTGAATATAAAAATTAAAATATTTAATGTATATAAATATTTCTAGAAAAGTCCTATACCACTTTGAAAATTTTTTTTATTACGCAGAAGTAGGCAAAATGGTTAAAATCGATTCATAAAACAACTTTAAGATATCTTTAAAAATTCTTTAACAAACATCTTCAAGATATTTCATAAAAAGTTTTGAAAGATATCTTACAATAATTGTCTTACGCGATAGAAGACGGATAATTGTTAGGTACGCAATTTGGAGGGACTACATATATTAATAGAACGTTATTTCCTACTTTGGATAAATATTGCGAAGAATATTACTACATCGACTCGCTATCAGAGGTCTATCGATATTCGCAAATTCTCGTGAGTGCTGAGACACGCGTATATCTCTTTATATAGAATCTCGATTTAATAACTTACCAAGGCGTATAAGGTAAACTTCCACTACAATGCCTTACTGATGAGTCCAGTAGTGGAAGCCGAGACAAAACGCCAAAAATTACGTGATATCAATATATTAGAATAAATTATCAGATTTAGATTTTTAATTGTATTGATTTGACTCGTATTTTGTCCCGTTTAACGTATTAATTATTATTATATGTATAAAAGAGTCCTCGAAATCTTCAATTTATTCATTAGTATTGTTTTTAAATCTCGAGTGCTCAATTTATTTTATATTATTGATTGACAACGTATGTTTTCCCCTTTAACCGTTTTTGAAAAAATTTGGTGCAATGTTTATCAAACTTACCTTATGTATACATATATACACGCAGGAAGACTTTTTTCGAGATTATGTGTACAAATTCAATTTTTTAAAATAAATTTTCAAAATACAAAATATATAAATAATGAAAAACAAAAAGGGCTACGAGCCAAAAAATATGTCATCTCATTTACCTCACTTAAACTTGAAAACTTTGAGCTACAAATTTGAAGAATGCAGCTAAAAAGCAGCTAATATAATACGTATAGGTAATATTGGGCTAAAGTAGTCGTCGATTATTTTTATATTTTTAAAAAATTTATATAATACTTTTTATTCATATTTTTTATTTATTATAATTTTAATGATTAAATTATATAAAATAGTGTAGAATTTTTTAAGTAAACTGAAGTATCTGATGTTTTTATTGTTTACGTTTATTGTTTACGTAACGAATTCAGCACGCACTACTATATACTGTGATGCATATTAAAATCGTTGTACTCTCATTTAATTTTTACAATTATTGTAAAAGTGGAGAGATAGTATTTTGAATTATAAAATATATACGTCTCGTTCGTTATTAGTAATATAAGTTTTAATTATTATAAACTATGTTTGATAAGCAATAATTATTTAATTGCTTAATAAAGTTTCATGTTAATTGCAATACAATGAAAAATTGATAATTTTCTTCATAATATTTTATTGTAGAATATGTTTCTTTAAATTCTTGTGATTAAATTACGGAATGATGGGACAGGTGTATATAATTAAACTAATAGTCGAATAATAAAATTAAACTTACTGTGACAAAATGTGCATTTTTCTAATTTAAAAGTTACGAGCATGTAAATCTGATTATTCTATTATTTAAAAACTGATGTCACAGTCAGTTGAGTGAATCCATTTGTTATGATCTTTCCAGTATCACATTTTCTCTAATCTCTTAATGTTATCAATGCAGACAAGTATCCCATTGCCGTTTTAATAGCCTAAATAGAATGTCAAATTATAAATATTAGTTTACGTATTTTTTTAAATACAGTTTTAAATATAATTATAATGAATATCATTCAAAATAAAATATATGTGTAATAAAAATATATTTATGTACGTAATATTTATATATATATATGGTATATATACATATACAGACTCATATCATAATTATATATAGAAAGAAAATAATATATATATATATATCTTTCTATACATTATATATAAATATATCTTACTATTCCAAACATCTGTAAAGAAAATATCCCGAATTTTCCAGCTGTCAATTTCAAAGGAATCGTGGATCGATGTACAATCAACATTAAATCTTTTGCGTGTTTCGATGGTAAACCATACCATTTACACTCATATACTCCGTACGCCATATTAGTGCTCTGAAAATTATGATTCTATTGCATAGGTTGCGTTAGCATACATAATTGTTTTACCTCTGTCATAAGTTTTTCAGCTGAGTAGCAATATACATATAAGTGCGTCAACATAAAGGTGATATAAAACAAGAGAAAAAACATTCGGACAATAGGTATTTTCAAATTATCTGTTATCATCTGAAAATAATACATTTTAATAGTTGCACGTGAATGTATGCGGTACAAATTTATTACAATACATTATGCTATTATTTAATGAAAATCATAATTTTTAATATTTATTTAATTTAATCGCTTTATGTAAAATATACGGAAAAGAACACACATGTTCACACACGTGTATACACATAATGATCTTACATACCGTAAAAATCTGAAAAGCTATAAAACACATTTGAAGAGTAGTGAGTAATAGGTTCATAAATAATATTGAACTGTAGCAGTCGTCGATCGTCTTTGCGTTCCTTGAAAATTTGTACATTACTTGTTATACGTGTTATCATCTAATTATTTAAAATTTAAATCTTTATGTACAAATTTTGAAATACTTTGACTTTTTATCTATCTGATTTTAAGTATATTATTAAATTGTACCAATCAGCACATTGTATTAAAAAATATGTTTTATTAACTATTTAATATTTTTACATTAAAGAAAAATAAAAAAATTTTTATTAAATATTGTATGATGATTGGGATATTATTTAATATATCATGAAATTATATATTTTATATCACATTTGTTGTTAAATCTTATGAGTATAATTTTATCCCGCCGCTTAAAATCATGATATTTTAAAAGAAATAAGAATAAGTAGTTAAATATTTTTATACACGGAAAGAAAGATTCTGTTGATATTTCATTTGTTTTAAAAATTTAGTCTGATATCAGATCTAAATAAAATTTTTTTGGACCATAAAAATAACGATTATCAAGTATGATAAATAATATTGGAAAAAATTTGACATTTTTACTACCAGTGTGGATGACTTACATAATTATTTTAATGGTTTAATAAAATTATTTTTAAATGTGTATCTAGCAAAATTTTTGGATACTTCAGTAAATCCATTATTTCCGCGTATAATTTTATTTTATACGTTCTATCTTGTGCATAAGAAAAATTTGCTCCAACTCGTTTAAAATAATCTCTCTCTCTTTTTTTCTTAAAAATAATTTAAAACCTAATTGTAGGAATACGTTTAAAAATGTTATACTAAAAATATATTGAAAATTTTTTAACGTACCTGATAAGATGCTCATGTCGTATAACAATTGCAGCTAAACTTTTCCTAAATCTGTCTCTTTTTGAAGAAAATGTAGAGCTATTAGCTAATTCATTTACCAAATTGTTTATCGTCATCCGCAAATTTATGAGTTGCGAGCATATGTGCAGCACAAGTACCGAGACAAAACTATCGATCATGTAGTTACCGAAGACTGAATATGCACCGCCGAAAAGTTGAATAATATAGATGATTTCGTAATTCGGACTGTTTTGAATAGCTTCTAATCGATAGACTAGGTTCCGTCGAGGCTGGTGTATATTTTTAAAAAACCTCAACAGATGAAAAGAAAGTGAAAATGTCACCAAGCATATTGCGGACATACAACATCTAAGAGATAAGTTTCTGCTATGTCTCGCGATTTTCAACATGGTATTTCGTTCCCAGTTAGTTGTCGAAGTCATCCAATCGCTCATAATTGACACTATCAGTGGCTGAAGTGCTTCCAAAATAAATATCAATATAAATATAAATTATTAAAACAAGTATATGTTTCTAGATAGCATCATGTCCAAAATCGAGGTATGACAGTTTAACACACTGTTAAGTAGTCACTTAGAGCGATTTCGACTAAACTAATTGACTTAATTGCTGCTTGTTCGGCAAATTCAGAAGATTAAATCTTTAATATATAGTTTGTTATGTTTTTAATCTTTTGTTGATATGTTAAGCGTATATATATATATATATATATAATTCTATTAATTAATAATTTTATTCATATTAAAAATTGTTGATTAATTCCTTCGGGAGTGACATGTTTTGAAAATTTTTATAAATATATTATGTACTATTAAGTACCCCCTGAAAGCATTAAGTTTATCCAAGATCAATCAAAATCGCTCTTATATATTGAATAGAAAATAGGCCTTTTACGCATCCTATTATAAGTTCATGTCTTATGACCTGATTTTGGACGTGTATGCTGTTTGAGTTTCTATATAGAACATTGCCTTTTGTACTTATTGTTATTAATAAATTAGTATTTAAGTGAATAGGATTTAGCTTTGACATTTTGTATCAAGAACTGTAAAATATTTATAAATCTTTCCATCAATTTGTATTGTCGCGTAAAGTGAACTTACTTTTACCATGATACCAAGTAACGAATAATTTGCACACTGCCATTAAGCTGAAATTTGCTGAGACAAAATTTTCCACCATTCGAGTCAAATTACCCCAAGCACGAATCACATTCATCATTTGCGGTGCGGATACGTACAGACTTATATTACATATAATGATAATGAATCGTATGTTTGACCAACGAAAGTCACTCATAGGCATATGTGGATCGGGCCATATGCCAAATACCCGTAGCCATTGGTGAGTTAGTGTAAACATATAATTTAAATCTATAAAATAAAATGTTTGGAGAAGTATTATTGCTTAATTTAAAATACACATTAATTTTTTTGTTACTTTGATTTTTATTTTCTATTGTATTGTAGCACTTGTAAAGGAATTCACTTAATTTATACTATTTTTTATATAATTCGTTATTATAGTTTACACTAAATATCAATTTTATTTTATAAATTTTATTTAATCCCTATATTAGATAATGATATTTTTATATTTTAATGCTCTGAAATCAAATCCGCGCGATGTCAGAATTGTTCTATCATGTAACACTGTTTTTATTGACAGAAAATAATAGGATTTTACAATATCTATAAAGCTATTTATGGTCTGATATTTAATATGCGAGATAAAGTAAAAGACAGAAATAATGCTTAAATATTAGAGAATTTTACGATTCTGCTTAGTATTGAACCATGAGTTAAACGATAATGTATAAGCGTATAAAATTGATATGCAAGTCGATAGATAAAAAATATTGAAAAATAGAGCTATTTTGAGAATTAAAATGGTAAATAATGAATGAATTGATTAATGTAGATGATTTTACCAAAACAAAATTAAAAATATTTTTTATTATGATGCTTCTCTTTAATATCGTACTATTTTTATGTTGTTGGAGAGATGTAAAACTTATACAACATAACAGTTGTCTATATTTTACATCTCTCTTCACAATCTGTTTTTACAAAATTTTATTGTTATTCAACGTTGTTGCTGCATTTATGTTTCGATTTTAAAGTTGTCGAAGCTTTGGAAAATTTCTTTTCAGTATAAACCCTTTCACTGGAACACGATTTGTGCACAACTGACGTTTATTTCACGTAACGTGATTTTATTCAACTTTACAACATAAAAACACTATATATCTGCAGGAAAAACTTCCTATCGAAAACGAAGCGTTTTTTGCTAGTATGATAAACTTTATTTCCATTCTCACAAACTTTTGTGAAAACCACCAAAGTTTTAACTTTCTATGAGAGATCTATAGACTCCACGCAAAAAACTGTGATGCTTTTTGCTATTTTTCGTAACAGAGCGATCTCTTTCTTTAATTTCATAAACAATCTCCAATTTAAAAAAATAATTATATATTTATGTAATTATATTTTTAATAGAATTTTGCGGTGCACACTTCTTTCTATTTTTTTTCGAGATATATTCTACCTTTGTTGGCATTCATTGATGTTCACTGCGCAAAAATTATCGTTTAACTGAATCAGTCTCTGTGATTGTACCAAACTGTCTTGATTTTGCGCTTGCTCAGAATACAAAGGTTTTCAGTGGTTACTATCTACATGAATACTTGTTTTAAACTCTTGTGGTACAATCAATAGTTACATGAGTCACATATATATGACGCTGTGGGGAAGGTAATAAATAAATAATTTATTTTGTTGCCAAAAACATATATATTTATCCAGCAAAAATTATATTACAAGTATCTAATATATATAAACCTGTTAATGTAGTATGTAGAAAATAAATAGTAATAAAGTACGCGCATTTAATTTATTATTTCAACATTATGCTTTCTAATCCATCATTGTCAGCAATACAGATAAGTATCCCATTGACGTTTTTACCGTCTAGGGAAAATAAAAATAGAATATAAATTTAAATGTTTTATGGATGATTATAATTTTATTTTTGTACAGAATATTAATATATTATATAATATATTAAAGAAAATATAATCAACATGCAGAGAGTGACAAAACAAATCTTATAGGTTTCTTAACTCTCCGTTATATTAGAAATATAAAATTTTAATTTTTCATCTGCAATCTGAGTCTTTAATCTTTAGTGCAAAATTTTATATTATTCCGTTTTGTATCAAAATGTGAACATACTTTTGCATATTTGTGAAAATTTTAACGACATATATTTATCATCTTAAGAAATTAATTAAATTTCATTTATTTTTATATAGATTTAGGGAACCTCGCACCATTCTTATGAGAAAATGTTTTTCTGTGGATTTGGCTAATTTTTGGATATATTGTAGTTCTCTTCTTTCCAAACAAATGTCTCAATAAGCACAACTTGATTCTGTGAGCCGTTTTCGCGTTACAAGCCTTAGAAAATTCAGATTTAATATATGTTAAGTATAGTATTATCCAAGTATAGTCATCACCAACACACATACACACATACACACACACACATCAGAGACGGTTTGGAATCATTAAATACTACGGAAGTAAAGAATAGTCTTTCTATTGACACACTCGCACGTACATTCGATCGAATCTGGACCTTTCAAGGCTTGTAGCGTGGAAACAGCTCTTAGGATCTAGTTGTGCCCATTGAGACATTTGTTCAGAATGAAGAGAACTACAACATATCCAAAAATTAGCTAAATTCGCAGAAAGACATTTTCTCATAAGAATGGTGCGTGGTACTTTATCTATCAGAATTTGTAATTTAAAAAATCGACTGTGTGCATCTCCAAATTGTACATTGTCGATAAAGGATTAAAAAAGTATTAAAATTTTTTTCAGGTTGTATTTAATTAATATATAATTGAAAGAAAATTTTTTTAGTTTTAAAATAAAATATAATTTATTTTGCAAAATTTTGCGCAAAATAAATATTTTATTGAAAATTTATAATGTTCACGATCGTATTTTGTCACTCTTTCTATAGGTAAATAAATACGTTTTGTTGCGAAATAATATATATATTTTTTTAAATATCTTACTGTTCCGAACATTTCTAACGAGAAAGTTCCAAATTTTCCAGCTGTCAATTTAAGCGGAATTGTAGATCGATATATCATAAACAATAAATTCTTCGCGTCTCTTGGTGGTATATCATACCATTTGCATTCATATACGCCATTCGCCATATTTGTGCTCTGAAAATTACATTTTTGTTTTGCTCAGGGAAATCATCTGTAGTACAGAGATAATAATTATTTTACCTCTGTCATAAGTTTTTCAGCTGAATAACAATAAAAATACAAATGCGTCAATACAAGAGCGACGTAAAACGAGACAAAGGATATTTTGAAAACAGATACATCTAAGTGATTTGTTATTATCTGAAAATAATACATATTTTTTTCTAAGTCTTATAATTATTTATATATCAACCGTATTGTAAAATTTGTATTTTACATTATATTTCCATTTTAGCAAAATAAATTATTTTGCATAAACTTTGTGAAAAGAAATTAAATTACGATATCTGTCTTACCGTGAAAACTTGAAAGCTTTCAAAACACAGTTGAAAAGTAGTGGCTAACATGTGCACAAATAACACTGCGCTATAACATTCATCGACTGTGTTTGCGTTCCTTGAATTCATACATTTTATATTAATTATCAATTAATTATAATTATTTTGAAGTACAAAACTATAATTTATTAAAGATTTTAAAAATATTTAATATAGGACCAATTTTTAAAAAGTAGAGTGATATTGTACGTTTGTTATAATTTTTATTTAAATATAACAGTCTTAAAATTTCAAAATATGTTTAAAATTTTTTATAAATCATATTTTGTATTGTATTTCTTTTAGAAAATATCTTAATCAAAAGATACTGTTTATTTTATAATATAGGGATATCGTATTATAAATATGAAAGAATGAATTGTATTCTAAAATATTTTATACATAAACGACTGTAAATATTTAAATATATTATATTTCTCTGTTAAATAATTATTTGAAATTTCTTGTCATACCTGATAAGATCTTCGTGACGCATAGTAATCGCAACTAGGCCTTTCTTAAATCTCGAGGAAGATATAGATCCTTTGGCTAACTCGTCGACCAGATTGTTGAGTGCTGTTCGTAGATTTATCAATTGTGCGCATATATGTAGCACAAGTATCGAGACGAAACTGTCAATGGTACAGTTGATAAGGGCCGCGTACATACCGCCAGAAAGTTGAGTGAAAAAAGTGATTTCATAGTTCGGAGTATTTTGAGTGTTGTAAGGATAAGCAAATCGATACACGAGATTCCTTTGAGGCTGATGTACATTTCGATAGAATTTCAGAAGGTTAAAAAATATGTAAGATGTGACAGTACCCGTCATGGTCACAAAACATCTGACGGACAAGATTCTGCCACGTCTCGCTATATTTAACATTGTATTTCGTTCCCGGTTGTTTGTCGAAGTCATCCAATCGGTCATAATCGATATCATCAGCTTTCGAAGTGCTTTTGAATTAAACATGTATCAATGCAAATGATTAAAAAATGGCACGTATGAGAAAGGTATAATCCGTTTTTGTACGAATAAAACAGTTGCAATGTTGACTTTAAGGTTATAAATAACGAATTTTCGCATTTTAAAATTTTTTATAAAAATATCGATAAGTTACTTTCAAAATGATAACTTACTTTCACCGTGATACCAAGTACCGATTAACTTGCATAGTGCCATTAAGCTGAAGTTTGCGGAGGCGACGTATTCCACCATTCGAGACACGTTACCCCAGGCAAGTATCATGTTTGTCAGTTGCGGCACAATCACGTAAAAGCTCAGGATACACGCAATGATTATGAATCTTACGTTTAGCCGGTTGGAATTACTCGCAAACGGATCGGGCCATACGCCTAATATCCGTAAACATTGGCGACTCATCGCAAAAGCGTAATTTATATCTAATAAAATCAAATTTTGTCAAATCAAAGGAATATTTTTATTTATTATTAATTTATAGAAACGTTATCATTTTGTATTATTTTAAAAAAACTGTTTTTCTAACTTGCTAATAAGTATTAGTTAATATTTCATGAATAAAAAGAAGTTTTGCTGATGTATCTAAATATTTAGTTAGGTCTGAAAATAATTTTATATATTGGATCAAAATAATTATATAAAATATAATTTCTATGTAATAATTAAATGCTTAAGCTTTGATGACAATACTGCAGAGGATTTAACATTTTAACAATCAGTTGAACGTCCTACATAATTATTTTGAAGGTTTAAATAAAATTATTTTGAAATGTATATATCTAGCTAAATTTTTTTAATACTTCAGTAAAATCATTCTTTCCTTATATTGTTAAATTATAGATATCATAATTAAAATTTATTTCATATGTATTTTTTTTTATTTGTTATTGAATATTACAGATTTTTTTAAATTCAATACTTTTTAGACCTTCTCAGAGGAAATATTAATGAGAGGTGAATAATAGATAACGTAAAAAAATAATATATCGTTTTTATTGAAAAACTGAACTAAAGTTTAAAGTGTCTTAGTAACTTATTACTCTTTTTAAAAATGATCTTCGTAAGATGATCAATTTTAACGAAAAATTTCTATTTTAATTGTATTTCAGTTTTCTAAAAATTAAAGTTTCCAAACCCTTTGTCTATAACGGAGGAAAATTAGAAATAAATCGTGCACACATCACTAGAATTAACCGTTCAACTTATACACCATATTCAACTTTACCACTCAAAAACACTTTAGGACAATCTATATGTCGAGAAAGCAAGCATTTGCTAGCATAGAAAGTTTTATACCTGGTTCTCGCGAACTTTCGTGGAACAAAAAGTTCTGAACTTTTATGCCAGATGTATAGTCGCCTTGAAAAAAATTATATTTCTTGTGGATTTTTGCGGCAAATTGTTAAAAGCGAATTATTCCCTTTATTTATCCCTTTCCCTTTATTTATGAGTAATCATTAGTTATATAAATGTTATTATATATTTATAAGCCTTTACTAAAAAATTCATCATTTTATAAATAACATATTAAATAACAAACATGATATACATATATTCGTACTCAATCAGAACTACAAGTCATTATGATATCAAAATGATGTCAAAATGACTTCAAAATGATCATTAAAAGTCATTTTTCAAATTCATCTTAATCTCATTTTGATATTATCGTGACTTATTGTTTGGTTTGAGATGTAGTTAGTTTAAGAGAAGAAATATTTTTGCAGTATTGAGAAAATAGAAATAAATTGTAACGTCTAACGATGACTAATATTAAAATTGACTAAAATTAAAAAAATATTAGGAATTAAGTATTACCATCAATAAATAATAATATTTCACATGAAACAAATTATTTACTAATGTGATTTACCAATATAAGATTTCATTAATTTGTTACTTTATAAATAATAATTTATATTAAATTATAATTAATTTTTGAAAATTTTACTGAATTTAAACCAGAATAAAACATTTCTATCAACATACATATAATCGAAAATATAATTTTTACACATTATTATGTTGCATAACTGTTTTACACGCCACGCTTATATTTTTGGTAAAATATCGCGGTGCAAACTTTTGCTATTTTTTCGAGATATATTCTACCTTCATTGACGTTCATTGTAGTTCACGGAGCAAAAATTATCGTTTAACTGACTAGTTCTTCGTGATTATACCAAACCGTCTTGATTTTGCGCTTGCTCAGTACACAGAGAATTGAATCACTACCATCTGTGAGTACTTCTATAAACCCTTTCGGATAACAATCGATAGTAACATGAGTAGTACGTAATCACCATGCGCTGAATCAAATGTCGTGAATGCTGCACTTGCTTTTCGACTATAAGCAAGTTATTTACCCGATAATATCATCCGCTTGTCAACATCGACCATTGCTTAATTTCCAGCAGTTGTTCAAAATCTGCAAACAGATGTCACTGAAGTAAAAGTAAATAAAAAACTCACAAGTATGTCGTAAAAAATATTATTTGTTCGTTTATTCGACTTATACAAATACAATATTATACGTAAAGACAGAAATAAATATATTTTAGTAACGATTGGCGACGATTTTTCTCTCTGAATTAGTAATATTTCTATCGTTTCTGATCTCTCAGCGCGTCGAAAAAAAATTATATTTTACACACGATATAATTTATATTCAAACGGAACGCAGGGATCAAAAATGAGATTCACCAAAAGACGATTAGATAATATGGTGGAACATTCGGAAATTGCAGAAGACGCAACTTTCTCACCGCCGAACTTACGTCCTTTCCCTTAAATTCTATATACTTAATCATCTAAGCTACAAATATGAGTGCATATTAAATAAAATCGCCTCGGTGGCAAATATGTACACTTTTGGCTCGTCGCTTATTCAACGTGTTTGACAAAAATCTGTTTAATTGCAAAATTATTACAAATGTAAATTAACGAAATATTTTCGTGAAGATTACGTTGAGAATTTTATGCAACTGATCACAATCATGTGAGTCATCCACTAATCAAAAAGAATTTTATACATCATGCGAATTTAATATACCCGGCAAGTCGTGGAAGGAATGCATTAACTCTTTACTTATTATTGGCATTTCTATCCATTGACGTATTTGAATAACGTTTAAACTAATTTCAAATTAAAGAAAAGTTTTATATTCGTTTTTTGTTATTTTGTCAGAGCTACACAGCTAAAGAGTTCACGTGTTGTTAGTAATTATCTATATACACGATTTTCCCCGTAACAGCGGTATTTTTACTGTGAAAATATTTCCCGTTGTTAATTGAAATAATTCTTTTCTAACGAAAATGTCGAGATAATTTTTAAGCTATTTGAGAAAAAAATTTTTTTAAGCAGGACTTAACTAGAGTTGAAAGTGCCAACTGGTAGAAGAAGAGTCATGATGCAATTTAAGAACTACAAGCATGTCTAAGAGAAGATGTTGCCGGGTCTCGTCTGTGGACACAGGAAGCTGGAACAATCGTGTCTCCTGACAGCGTCCATAACCTCCTGGAAGTGATTGGATACTTGTACGGCTGCTCCAGGTTGAATTCTGTAAGTACATACAAACATCGATTAGTGTACTTATAGGATAACAAACCATTAGAAAGTTGGAGACATACTTCGACAAATGACCGACACCGTACGCAGTTAATTACTAATTAGGTGTGCACTAGATTGCGAATCTTTTAATCTTCCCATGTTCTTCCATTAACGATCGCTCGCTCCAATTAACTCGCTTTCTTTAGGACGCACCGAGTTGATACAAACTGATTTAAAAGTTACTGTACTTGTACGTTAAATAGTTAATTAAAGATTAATTGAATATATTAATTATAATACATCATAATTATGTGTACATAGAGTAAAATTTAATTATATTTTTAAAATACAAATGCAATTCATTATTCATTGAAATGTTATTTTCAAACTTTAAGTTGAAAGGAAAAAGGAAAAAATTTTTTTTTAAAGTGAAATCTTGTCTTTTCTGTCTTTAATTTAACATCTATTGTTTGTCTGTGACTAATCGAATATACGAGAGAAAAAAAGCTCGTTTTAGAATAGTTTTAAGATCTTAGAAGCATGCATGTATATCATGAACAGAAAACTAGCAAAGATAATTTATATTGTCCTTCTTTTATTGGACGTGCAATTCTTAGTATTTTTAGAAACGCAGTTTGTCCTGTAAATTCTCGTCACGTATGTGAGAACTGCTTGCTCGAAAATAGTATGCATTACAACATAGTACATGATATAATTCCGCTCTCTCATCGGTATATGGATGCATGCGTTTGCAATGAATTGAATTGTATAATAGTATATGTTTCACATGTTGGTACAGGAAATACCATTTTTGTCATTAACAACCGTTCGTGGATAATGAACACGTAATATCGTCGGAATTACTCGCGAGAACTTGAGCTCTCTCTCATCCCGCTTTCTTAATTTATCTCAAGCGATACTCATCCGCGTGCGCGGATAATCTGTCTCAGCAAAACTTCCTGAATACCTCGAAGTTCCTCGAATTTTACGAATTATTTCTAATTTTTTTTGAAAATAAAAGGCAGATGAAACAGTCTCGGTTATAACTAGAATGACAAAAGTGGAAAAGTGTGTAAGAAGCATTTTTATTTGTTACGAATTAATCAATATACATTATACCCATAATTATGTATAATTGCATTAATTTATTTAATCCGTAATTATATATTAATAATTATGAGTAAATATTATACTTCCATACGCAGTGATGAATTTTAGCAAGATGACTCATTTGAAATAACACATTTCACTTAATTACTGTGATGCTGATGAAATCACATCAGAAAGCGATCTGACAGGGATTAATCGCGATTAAGAACTGGAAAGAGAAGCGAACGCGAGATAAGTAAGTTATCGCATTGGATGCTCAAGAGTTTTCTCTTTGTCTCGTTTTTTCTTTTATTTTCGATAACATGTTTAAGTCTTTCTCTTTCTGTCAACTTTTCTTTCTTTTTTTCTATCACACATGACCAACGCGATAGCGGACAGGGCACATCGTGCACATACAGTGAAACTGTGCTAAGAGGTAAAAGTCGAATCAGTCAGTAGGACGTCGTCGGCGAAAGCTGGAAGAAAGTTATCCACTGCTCGGACTATAGTTCTGTTCGACTGGCTGTTATCGGCGTCTCGTTGACGCTTTGAATGCTTGATAGTACAGGTTAATTAAATTGGCTTGTACGGTTTCACGAAAACACGGCGAGAATCGACGCAATCGTTCATTGTGTTTTAAATTATCACTGCCAACAAATACGATTTATGATATGATAAAGTGAACATGACCCTCAATATACATGCAGTTATGCATATTACTTTATAAACGCTGTGTTGAAAAAATGTCTAATTAAAAATGGACAAACAAAAAAATTCTGATTTATTAATCAAAGGTTATTTAACTAGAATTTGAATAAATTTCCATTTTTAATCAAAAGTTCAATTAATCCTATCAAACAATTTTCTATTATAAAGAAACGAACTATTACATACAGTTGTAACAACTTGTTAAGTGCTTTAAACTGCTTCAAAAATAATAATTGTTAATAAAATTATATTATTTAATAAAAAAGAAGAAATAAGAAATGAAATATATAAATATACAAAATGCGCTTCAATAACAATATCAAAATTTATATAAAAAATTTTTAAAGAACTATCAAAATAGAAAAAGACAAACCTATACGATAAGATAATATTAACCCTTACTAGTCTAACGTTTTTTCGGCACCTTTAATGGTCTAACGTGGGCCATTCGTGTCTCGGCGTTTTTTAGACATGTTAAAGGGCTTTAAAAAATCTGCAAAAATTCATGGACCTTCATTAATTCTTCAATTTCAAGAAAAAAAAATTTGTATGTCGAAAATAATTATTTTTGTATATAATTTTGTATTAAAAATGGTGGTACCGCGTGTAAAATCACTCGATCACTTAAAAAATCATAACTTCAATCCAAATGAAGCTATCGACATAAATCAAAGTGGAAATTAAAGGTGAAGAGTGTACCTTTTAGGGGACTTGAACGACCCACGTTAGACCATTAAGGGTTAAGTCGAAGAGAAAGTAACCCAAGATTTTTGTCCAAAACTTTATTAAAATAAAATACTTAAAAGATTACTTTTAATGAAATTAATTGCCGTTTGAATGAACTATTTTCTACCATCTTTCTGGCAAAAGTTGGATTCTGCGGCGATAAAAAAACCAAATCTTTAGCTGTAAAAAAGTTTTTGATCTATATATTATGAGGATCATTTTTGCAGCGTTTCACTTCATGCATAATAAAAACCTTAGTGGACTTACAGTAGGAAGTTTTTTCGCATACAATCTACTCAGCAGACACTGAACTATCACCTATTGATCGTTATCATCTATTTCGTTCAGCATGGTTTAACGGCTAGTGCTTTCGAAACGTAGCCAAAATGAAAAATTGAGTCAATAACTTTCGGCCTAAGAGCCGGTCTTTTATTGCAGTGAAATCTAATTTTTTGCCAGACAGAAAATAGTAGATCCAAACGGCAATTATTTTAATTAATAATTTTGAAGGTGTATATGTTTTTAAATTATTTTAACGTTAATATTTTATTTTAACAACAATTTTTGGAAAAACCGAAAATTTTTCCCGATTAAATAACTTCTAAACAAAACTGTAAGGTTGTGCAACAAATGTTTCAGTCTACCAAAATGTTTTCAATTTTAAATCGTCAATCTATTAAATTTTTGTAAATTGCATCCATTCAATTATAATAATTATCTACATTTTAAAGAATTGTTCATTAATTTCTAAATATAAAATAAAATAGTAACATCACAAGAGATTTCTGTTTTTTACAGATTAAAGAAATGTGATAAATCAAAAGTACTCACAGTCTCAATAAGGCCGCCATTTTTTTCTCCATAAGCACTGAGGCGTCGGAATCTCTTTGAAGCATCGTGTCGCAAAATATCCTTTTTGCGCAGGGAGTGTTCGTCCAATCGCCCTGTATGTGAGCAACTTCCGCCACTTCTGTGTTCTCCAGATTCTGTAGCGTGTCCTGAAGCTCTTGATCATTTTCGACGCTTCGCTTTCGTCTCCTATTTATTGTTCCCTTCTCGAGATTACTTTCGAAATCTTGCGATCTGTCCAACACGAAAAATGCACCATCGGTTCTCAGATTTCTTCTTTGTCCATTATCTTCATTTATTGAAGCTGCGTCCCGAGAATTATCACCGAACATTTTTGCAGTAGTTTTCAATCTGTTCTGATCCGACAAGTCCATTTGAAGATTTTCAATTGGGATCTTTAAACTGTCTCCGACAACTAGAATAGCATTTCCACTCAAGTGTTTCTTTTTATTCTTTTTCGGAATTAGGAATTCAGTGATGTCGACGCGATCTGAGCCAGCAGGCAGATCGATTTCCACGATCTCGCTGATAGAATCGGCACCTTTCCTCTGAAAGCGTTTGCTGCGTACCAGATTTTTCATGTCAGTATCCGCCTTAAAGATATCTAGATAATCGAGACTTCTCCTTTTACGTCTATTAGTTTCCACATAATCGGCTTCGTCCACCACCTGTTTACTTTCTCGATTCTCAATTTTCTCGGCGTTTCGTTTATCCTCTTCCAGAACCAAGAAGACCCCATCGTTTTCTACCGAATCGATATCCTCGTTTCTCGCTTTATCGTTCTGAGGAACATTCTGCAGAACGTACAAGGTCTGCGGCGTTGCTTCGTTCAATCTTAGATTCTCATTCTCGATCGTTGTTAAATACGCTCCAGTTTCCAAGGCACGCTTATGTTCCAGATCGTCTTCGTCTGCGTTCGATCGTTTCAGAACGTCGACGTCGAGATATCGACCAACCGCCACGGCGCCTATGCCGAGTGCGGCACCAGATGCCACGAGACCTAGAGCCGGGATTAGGATGCTAGTACCTGTCGCTACCGTGTCAATCTTGTTTTGAGCCTCCTTGGTTGAGCCTTTGGATAGACCAAGATTCTGCGAGATTTTGTGAGTGGCCTCTACCAGAGGGTCGATCACCGGCCTAGTGAATTGCGAGACCCTTTCGACTCCGGTGGAAAACTGATTCTTCAGATTTTCGGAGATCTTCACCCATAAGGACGGTTCGTACGGTCGTTTCAAGCCGTAGAAGTGCTGATTCGGATAGTAGTTCTTCGTGGTGTAACTGTCCACTATGTTCTTATTGTTCAGCACATACTTCTTCTTATGACGTTGCTCGGTGAATGAATGTTGACTTTCCGGGAAATTGTCCGGTCGGCGTTTCTCATTCTTTAGGATCTTAGCCGGTTGCACGCCTAGCTCTGGATGAGCGTACTGGAGAACCGGCGCGCGCGCGCCAGGCTTCAACGCTACCGGTGCTATGGTCTGACTCTCGAGGGTGTAACGTTGAGAAATCGGATAATTCGCAATGCTGTCCGGATGTAGCATTCTTTTGTGAACGCTTGCACGGTAATGGTCATTACGTGGCTCGTAGACCTCGGCTTTCAATGCTTCGCTTTTGTAATTCCTCGGATCCCACTCGAAGTACACGTTGTGGGCTTCATTGTCGTAGTTGCGACCATACCTAGCGAACGTAAAGAGAAATCAGAAAATTATAGGAATCGTTCAATACGATCAGTACTATTCAATACGTTCAATACTACTATAATAAGTATAGTAAAATTCCAAATAATTTCGATAATAAAAGAGCCGATATTCAGAAAATTGAAGTTTGAGTACATCAAGCTCTTATTATTCTAACAATAGCATCATACTTTATATATTACAATAAGAGCTCAGCTATGAGTTTATATATTTAGAACTGAGCACAAACTTGTTTTTATAAGTAGAACGCAGATTTTTACTAAAATAGTTAATATAATTATAAAACCAAAAAGTATCAGGTAAATATTTATAACTGAAAAAAAAGATAACAATTTCTATACGGAAATATAAAAAATACAACTTTCATAAAATTTTTTATTCCGCCGAAATTTTTTAATTTTAAATTATCTATTATATATTCTATCTATGTGTTTCTATAGATATGTGATAATTAGTGAGTCTTTATTTTAAACGCTCTTAAAATTGTTCTTTATCGATACTTGGACAATGCTCGGCCGCTTTTTTACAAATCGAATCTTTTCTTACCTTCGATTAACATCTTTAAAGAACTTTTCAAACTTCTCCTTCTTTTCCGCGTTATCATCGAAAGGTTTGACAGGAGGCTCTGCGGTAACCGTCAGACTATCCTCGGAAGTTATAAGCTTGTTATTGATAACCCGAGCGTTTCTCCAGGTTTGTATTTTGTCGATAGGCTCATCAGATACTCTCGTACCATGAACTATTGGCGTGCCATCGACGTCCAATGACATGGGTGATCTTTTTGACGCAGTCTTCACGTTGATCTCCGATCGAACGATTACCTCCGGAGGTACAGCTTTGCCATCTCGGTTTTTCGACAGGTTGGCACCAATATTCGTTCTCGTAGACACTATATGAGGTATATACATATAATGAAACCCGTCTTCATTCGCAACACTTTGATCGTTAAATTTAAAGTTCTTCCGAGTTCGGTCTTGGAAATTCCTGGCAAACAGGATATCGCTACCAAATGCAACTTCGCCTAATCTGTCATAGTTTGTTCTGTCCTCGACGGCAGTCTCCAAGTTCGTCTGCAACGGTTTCCAGTTTCGATACTCGTCCTCTTCCTCCGACTCTTGTTTCAAAGCTCTTCCTCCCGCGTCCAACGGCGTCCAATTCCCATAATCGATTACGCCAATAGGTTGACTTCTTTCAGACGCCAGTCTCCTATCAGAACGATTAATATCTGATTTTTCATTTTTTAGTTCTGAAGATTTGGAGATTGTCGCCCTGATCTGTTCTATTTGAGCTTCTTCGAGTTTTCGTACTTCATCCTTTCTTTTACCTTCGTCCTCATTCCTGAGCATCGATTCATTCTGCGCATTTATTGAAAAATTTTTTTTCAATAAATTTTCCGCAGTAAAGTTTGATTCTTCTTGAGCAAGTTTTGGAGTAAGCTTCGAATCATTGATGATCGATGATTTGTCTCGTCGTTTGACGATTAAAGTGGCCATGTTGCCTTCGTTCGTTCGCACTTTCAGCTCTTCCGTCTCACCCGGAAGACTTCGAGAGACCTTCAACATCGTTCTGGTATAGCCTGGTTTAGGTAACTCGTCATAGCATGTGCCAAGTGTTAAGGCCACGGAAAATAGAAAAAAAGTAATCTGAAATAAAATTGAATTACTTAGTATAAAAGTCATATAATTCTTATAAAACATTAATCATAATTCTTGAAATATTTTTGTCAAATTATATTGTTTATACTGACATTCATCTTATTTAACACATATAATAATTATTGCATTGAATTGGTTATTCACATAAGATCAGTAATGTTTAATGTTAACGATTATAACAGATTCCTAAACTTTTTTTTTTCAAATAATAGTCGTAACATAATACTTAATTTAATTCTAATTTTATTCAATTTATTGCAAGTGTAAAAGATTGGACGCCAGCAAGACTGCTTTCATGAGCCTGGCTGATACAATGTGTGAATATAATAGAAAATAATAACAATATAATAATAGCACATTATGTTATTACGTAGTAACGTAATAACATAATAATCATTGACAGAAAACAGAGTAAGCACGGATTAAACACATTACTAATTATGAATGAAATTTAAATGAAATATATTCAGAAATGTTACTTTAAATTTATGCAAAGTTGTAGGATTTTCTTGAATTGATAAATGATAATTGACTTCAATTGTTTGAGAATTTTTATCAACACACTCTGGGGTGTACCGCTTCATCAGAGATACAGCGCACTATAATTCTTGCGCGAACGTGTGCATCTGATGTTGCGTATACATGCATAATTGCGTTTCGACTCGATTGAAGAACAAACGAAGACGACCAGAATGCGAAATGAGTTTTAAAAAGGTTTTCGAAAGTTGACCTTACGAGGTTTATATTCGCACGATGCACCGGCAAACATTTAACTGTGATTTTCAAATCGCATCTCGCAAATTTCCATCAATACATCTAGATTTATTTGTAACGGATGAATCGGCCGTATTGGCAACGCTCCAGCAGTTCGGCGACGAGAGAAATTTAATAGCCCGTTGAGATTGTCGGCATTCTTTCCCGGCATTAGAAAATAGCAATGTAGTAACCGAGCGGCGGGTTACTTTCTATTATCAAACGTGACGATTATCCCTGATTGGAATTACGCGCAGCTGACAATTCTCGCGCGATTGCACCGTAAATTTGCAGTTGAGTCATTGCGTGTGAATTATAAAATACGTATTATCTCGACGTACCGAAATTAAGTGAATGCTCGCAGCGAAATACAAGTATGTAGATCATTAAGTGGATAATAGACATACTCTTTTGGAGATCGATGGGCGCCTCATATTCGCTAATTATATTAATTTGCTATTATTATTAATAAACGTGCTATTAGTCTCGTTTCCTTAGAGAATATCATTATTTGAAGTGCAAGCTTTAGAAATCACTCATCCTTAACAAGAAAACGTCCTAATATCCGGCCATTGAAGTACGTGTACTTGAAGTTCGACGTGTATTACGGCAGAAAAAAATACTTTCTAATAGCGTACGCGCAAAAAGCGGATAAAATGAAATAAAATCGTGAAAGGTGGCTCTGGACCGAGTGTGTTCTAACGACAAGTGAAATGGAACGACATGCTTTCCCCATGTACGCGTTTTACGCGAAACATCACGCGTGCATTAACTCGTCTACGGCCGATGCGTATCGCATCATGTACATCAGCAAGAAGTACGCGTACGATCCACTTTTTCCATCCCGATGACTTTCGATAGACGATTGTCATTTATTGATATTGATACTCAACAGAGCACTTTTTGAATTCATCTCGACAACACATAGACTGCTCATTTATTTGTCTCATATAAATTCTCATTTTTTAATGTAATTGAACTTCTGTTTTTAAAATCTTTATTAAGCGTGATTTTAATCAAATTGTAATTCTTATGAGATCCATATTTACACCTTACTTTTATTTACATCTCAATTTTGATGAATCGATAAATGTGCGTATTTATTTTTGAATTTTTATAGTACATTTAACATAATTATATGCTAAATGCTGGTATTTATTACATGAAAGTGATGTGTAAATAAGAATCTTAAAAATTATAGTTTAATATAATTTGATTAAAATTGCTTTTTAAAAAAATATTTTAAAAATAAGAATTCAATTTTATGGTTTCAAAATTATATAATTAAAATATTTTAAAACTTTGTACCAATATTTAAGTTGAAATCTCCTAATTCTAATTAGTAATTGAGGAGCAGATTTTCAAAATGCGTTATGTTCAAAATTTGTAATTTTTAGAAAAAGAGGAAGAGAAAACTACAGAGAGAGACTAGAAAATTGTTGCGAACAATTGCTAAAAATGTTAAACAAATGCATTTTGTTCGTCTCTAGTTAAAAAACATAATATTATTTCTTCAGCTATTGAAGTTATCTCAACAATTTATTAAATTACATTAAATTTTATATTTTTATTTCAGTTTGTCTTTTTGTTTGAATCTAAAGCCTTATATCATGAAATTTTATATTTAACAATTAATAAATTATTATTTACTTATTTTGAATAAAAATAATTGTTTAAATCTGGTTTTATTTGAAGGACTAAATTTCATTGTGCAAGACACAAGAAATCCCGATCAGTTAAAGGTTACAGCTTCACATATATCAAAGCGAGGTCAAAATACGTTAGCGCAACAATACGCGTGGCACACTGATGCATGTCACTCGTGGTTTCCGCTCCAGAAAATCTACGGGTCGACATTAATTGCACGACAATTAAGTCTAGATCTAGTTTTTTCCTCGATGGCCGTCGCGTGCATTCATCTGGAAATCGCCCACGCTGTACCGCCGCCAAATGTCGATTATAAAGATCAAGTTTCACGCGTGCCGATCGATTAGGTACAGGTGAGATGATCAACCCGCGATCAATCGTGCTGTATCGTTCACGGTTTATTATTATACCGATCATGAGTAGAGATAAGCTGCATATACATATACGTAATCAATGAAAGCCTATCTTTCTTGCGGATTGATTAATCTTGCAATGAAGCTTTGATCTCATTGGTATTTCATTCATAAAAGTTTTAACAGGTGAAATCATTAATGTTCTGTAGATATTGCATAAAAGAGCTAAAGGCATATATGATTGTTGAAGCAATAAAGAAACACTTATTTTAGCCTAGACAAACAATTTTACGATATAAACATCAATTAATTGCGTAATTCTTATATTATTCTCAATATTTTATAACTAAACATTTTTTGATTTTTCCATGATAACAGAATCTTTCTGTTAAAGAGTAAAATGAAGAAAGCATTTTTATATCGCGCGAGATTCACATTTTTTAATTTACAAAACTTCCTTCGAAAATTACTTCATTTACTTGCGATACGCCATATATATATTTAATGATTAGGATCCAATTCCACTAATGTAAAATTTACTTTAATCTTGTTTCAATTTACTAATTTTAAGAATTGTAAGAATTTTAGAAAAGGATAAGTAAATAAAACTGAGATTAAGGAATTAATCTTATATTGATGGAACTGAGCCTATAAGTGATAAAAATAGAAAAAAGAGAACAACAGAAGAAGGAGAGTAAAAGAAAAGAAAGAGAGAAAGAAGAAAATAAAAAGTATTTACCTGGCATCTTCTCATCGTCGTCATGTTTTCTAGATTTCCCAGCAATTTCTGTGATAAAAAGTACTAAACGGTACGGAGAAAAATGCACGAGGTCCGCAGGGGGAAAACGAAGAACTTTCTTCAGGACTGCATGATATGCGATTGTCACCGATTGTCGTCACGATTTAGAAAACGTCGCGCAAATCACGAAATTTCCGCTCCGGTCCTTCAGACGAAAGACGAAAGTGACGAAGAAGGAGAAGGAAGGGGCTCTCTCGGAGGCTCCCTGGCTCCTAACGCACCTGTTGACTCCCGGAATATCTTCACAAGACTGACGGAGCCGCTCGGCCAGCAGCTCCTCGTGCGTCCGATCAACGTATGAGCGAAACTTCTCTCCGACCTACTTCTCGCGCCCGCCTTCGTCTTCTTCCGTAGCGGCGTAAGACGTCCGCGATTAACCCTTCCGGAGTAGAGAGGGGAGGCTGATTCTTCTCCTATCATCTAATATATCCATACGATTTAAAGAAAACATCCGAGTCGATTAAAATTATTGATAATATTAAGTCATCATAAGTATATTGATTAGTTCGTCATATATAAATAATCGAAGTGAATTTTTTCTCGAAAGAGACATAATTCTTTTTTTATTTTTTTAATTTACTTACAAAAATAAAGGAGGCACGCAACTGAAAATGTTTTTGTACACAATTTAAGTAGTAAGTGTTAAATGGAAAAGAAAAGTATACCTGTATATTGAATAAAAACCAGTCTTCTTTTCAGAGAATTCTTTTAACCATTCGAGACGTCGGTCTTTCATTTATTTGTGTTTTACAAACATGCGAAAGAGGACCAATATTCAATTTACAGTTTCTATGCAAATCTGAGTCTTAATTTAAATGTCAAAGATACTTTTTAGCAAAAAAATTTATTATATCACGTAAACAGCTTTTTTTTTTTAGGAAAACACAATTCATATAAGTGTTACCGAAAATATTTTATTAATTCAGGAGCATAGAAAGGAAAAGAAAGATAAAGAAGGAAATAATGACGTATGTAGAAATCCGTGTATTAATCAGGAAACAAAAATAAACCTTCTCGCATTCCTCTGCAAATTGAAATAACTTTTTTTATGCCATGATGAAATTAATTTGTAGCAATAATGCATTACTTCCGTTTGTTCCAATTACCGGACCATTGCCAAGAAGAATTTGCACATTCAGGACGACGATTGAACCACGTCATTACATCTTTATCTCCGGTTTCCTCTCTTAATACTTTCTCAGCATTTATATTTCGCTCTTTATTTCTCAATTTTGCACCGCGCTTTCATTTTGGACAGTATTTGAATCACGAGAATGTTTCATAGAACAGTATTCTAATAGAACAGTATAATAATAGGATCACATTCAATTCTTTGATTTTGAATTTGTAAATTCTTACAAATTCATTTTATTTTCTTAAATAATAAACAATAAAATTAAACATCTCTAATAAATATAATACTATAATATAATCTTTATTTATAATCTTTAAAAGTGTGCTTATAACATATGCGAATAAAAGTACAACCGCCTTTTCAAGCGGCTGAAATCGGCTATCTGCGAAGATTCGTTCCTCTAAATTAATTCACAATGAGTCTCACCCCAGATATTACATACGTCGTTGATCGATCCGTTTCGCTTCACGGGAAATTCCAAGCGATTGTTCCGTCTAAACTAATCCATATTTAGTAATTTTTATTAAAATAAAAATAAGCTTAAAAATTTGTTTCGATATTACAAATCATTAAGTAGATTATTGCAAAAATTTTGAAAATACTGCATTATCCTCTCTTGTCCCCCTTACTTACAAATTACATAAATCATGTCAAACATAATTGTTCTTTTCCGTCGCATTTAAAATGACTCATCAGAAAAGTCGCAGTAGTTATTGCGTTTTCATATACACGTACCATTGTTTCACCACGGATGGCGTATCTCTTTCTCGTTCAAGCGAGTTTTAATTATCGGTTACAGATCTTTATCAACGGGATTCCGGAGACGCGCGAAACTTCGTCGACAGCAGCCGGTTTAATTTTCAAGTTCATGAACGGGGGGCCGGTTCGGGACGAACCGGAAGAGGTATTCTTCGTGAGAGGCCGCCAGAGAGTTCAGAGACCCTCTAGTGAAAGTCGATCGGTTAAATGATGACGACGACGATGCACACCTGTGTAACGTCCTATTCTGGCCACGGAACAAGTATCACGTGTTCTTCCTTCGATGAAATCTCTTTTGCTTTAAATCGATAATCAGTTCCTGCTATTTCGCAACACTTCAAGCATTTTTAGAATAGTGCGAATGCAATCAAAAGGTATGATAGTATTAATAATTTCCTATTGTCACACATACCCTCCCCCACACACACACACACACACACACACACACACACACACACACACACACTCTCTCTCTCTCTCTCTCTCTCTCTCTCTCTCTCTCTCTCTCTTTTTTTCTTTCTCTCTGTCTACATGGTGTTTTTATTTATTTTTGTCAAACATTAATGTTTTACTAATAAATTAACTTACTGCTAACATAATTTTTGATAATTATAAACGAATTATATCAGCAGAGCAACGATTAAAATTAAATTTCAAAATAATATATTATTATAGATATGATAGATTATATTTGGAATAGATATTACATGAAATAATTTTGAAGTGGTAAGTATACATAAAATACAAATATTTGAAAATTTACTTTCACTTTTTGAAAGATTCTGGGCAAATAATAGCAAGAAAGAACATAAAAATATTTCGTCATTTATTCGTATGTATTTAATTATTTTACGTTTTGATAAAATAAAAAAATTATTTTATTTTTAATCAATTAGTAAGTATATACATATATACGTATAAAATAACGATTTATATATCTTTTGTTTTATTTTAAATATATTCTATTTTTTATGATATATAATCGATCAAAAAAATTTTATTATACTATTTATTGTACTATTTTTTATTTAAAATTATGCTACTTTATTATATTATTTTTACAATTATATTATTTTATTATGATACTCAATAATTAGTATATTTAATAACTTGACTGTTGGATATCTTATTATGAATAAAATAATAAATGCAAGAAACAACGCAGGTAGATATATAATTACAAAAATACAAAAAATTAAGAGAGAGAGAGAACGAAAAAAGTGAAAACTATTGTGATGAATGAATTTCTTAATCAAATAAATTTTACTTTACACATTTTTAGAACATATAATATATAAATTTCTGGATTTAATATTGATAGGAATTGCAAAATCGTAAATTAACAGATTTTTTTTCTAAGATCCGAACCTTTAATTTTCTTATGATGATTTGAATACCTCCGTTTGAGTAATATGGATCAGTAGGTAAGTGTGGCCCATAGTAACGCATAAACGCGAGAGGAGAAAGAGAGAAATTGCAGTTCTCTTGAATGGAGCACGTGACTAATACAGCATATTATCGCAGTTTGTATTTATCGCAGTTGAACAAATTGCTTGTGCATTAAATCCTTCTCTATCGTCCCACAGTCGTCATGCAATTTTTTGCTTCATTTTACTCTGGAAATTATAATCACGAACATGATTTGCTTCAGTATGCATCAACGTCGTTTTTTTAATATACAGTCTCTATAAAACACATTTAAATGAACAGGTGCGGAAATAGATATGTTCATCAAAGATGAAGGTCAGAAAAGAAAATTAATACGCACATTTACCAGTAGATAATTCTTGTCAAACAACAAATGACATGATTTATATGTTTGTTTCAACGTTATTGTTTTATTGCTACTCGACAGGTGGAAAGTTCATCTTAATGTGAGCGAAGAGAGAAGCCTCGATCGTGATTCATGTTGAGATCATGTAACGAATTTCTCTTTTCAGCTCCGAAGGGTCAACATCTGGCTTTTGATAATGTCTTATGGAAATCTAATATAAGCATTTTTTAAAAAGTATGAAATATTTGCCGTTAATTCTTTTCAAAAAACAAATTGATCCCAGTGTGTGTTAAAATTCGTCTTCGTTCGTTGACTTGTAAATTAGACGTGCCACTTTCGTTATATCTTAAATGTCGATTGTCGGCATAGCGCTAATTATCTTTTTTCAGGTTCAATTTTACACTCCATAAATGCTCATTTGATATCTTTGTAAAACTATTATCGAGATAGCTCTATAGATAATAATCTAACGATAGAAAGCTAAGTTAGTGTATCCATGTTAAATATTATATAACTGCCTGTTCATATATGTGTACAGTACTTTTTAATGTACATTTATAAATAATTTTTATATTAATTAAAATTATAGTTATACCTACTATAGAAATAATAATATAATAATAATAATTGATTACACGCATATTTAATTATTTATAATGGATTAAATAAAATATATAAAATAATTGAAAATAATTACAAATAAAAACTACTGTTGTTAAAATGCACTTGCTTCAAAAGAAAAAAGCTATTTATTCAATTTAACAGTTATTAAATTATTTTTAATAATAAATTAGGCTAAAATTAAGATTGACAGTTCATCATTAGCGGCAAGCCTTAGGCCAAAATGTTTGATTATCTAAAATCTCGTATATGTTCCCCGTAAATTTTATTCCTTGTCATTGATGTATCGATGCATTGATGTCCTCGGAGCATCCACCGTTATGAATAAAAAAAATTTATGTAAATGGATTTGCAGATTATACGACCTTAGCAATAAAAAAAAAACGTGAGACTCTTCTTCAGAACCTTGAATTTTGAAACGATACAAGTATTCTGAAGAAGTCGCGGAACGTCTTTTCGGCATTCATTTCTTTGCGATCAGATTGCCGAACAGATCACACTGATCGTACGAATGTTTTCTTAATTTCCACTTTGTTCTCGACTTTTGAAGAGCATCCTCGAAATATCACATTGCGCTCGCAATCAGCGAGATCATTCGGCATTGCGATCACGTGGAGACCTTTGTGCATCGTACAATACGTCCCACGCGAATCACACGATGCACAAAGGCCTCCA